GTTCCATAAAAACATAATAAATCTTAGCATTGCCGTATAGTATGGTATGTCTAAAAATCAAAGATGCACCGTGACCGCAGGCATTTTAAACTGCTATTGACAGGAACGCACGCGTAAAGTCAGCTTGGGTTGACACAGCTCTTGTTGACCCAGTAAAGGCTGGAGAACTGCTGGCTAGGCAGCTGCCATCCCTTTCCACCGCACCCTGGAAGCCGAGGGGGTGTGCAATTTTGGCAAGAGAACGCCCGCCAAACATTTAACAGCAGGCAGTGGGTCTTTTCAGCTACTGTATTTTGACAACATTTCTCACAACTTGTGAAAGACGTCAGCTCTCATATTGCTAGGAAGACAGGAGCTGGCATGAAGTTTGATGCGTCGTCTTAACTTTTTTCTACTAGGATAGGTACGATGGAGGCGAATATTACTTTTAGAAAACACTTCAAAAGGTGTCTTTATTATGTTAAATTAGCAATAACATGTTCTCCACCTCCTACGTAGCATTTCCTCCAGGTGACGCACATTTCTCTTTGTCTTACACACCGGTCTTGAATAAACTGTGAAGATGACAACAGTTTACCGCAGTTTTGAATGAAGGTGTTTCATGAGACAAACACTGAAAACCTCTCCTCAGAGCATGAAGCCAACACCACAGGTTTACTGCCAAAAAAAGGCAGCTGGGTAGTAAGGACAGAAAAAAATGCTTTAAAATGCTTTTGTAATCCAATTAACGGTAACGCTTCTCTGACTAGGATTTCATCAAAGAGAGAAAAGTTGATTTTATTGTTGAAGAGATGGAGCCAAGAGACATATATTGTCATCTCTGCCAACATCTTGGGCCCTTGAAAACATGTTTACTTCTCTGCATCTATTTCTTTATGTTGGTTTTAAGGCATTCCAATACATATATTTACATGCATTTATATGTTATACACAAATGTATATACCATACTGAGAACAAGGAGCAGTTCAGTCTTAAAGCAGTTTTGAGGCAATTCACCTACTGAATTTTGTTATTTATACACAAAACACATATCTAGAAAAAAACACATGTATATATCAGATTGAGAAGGCAAATCCCAGGAATGGGATTTACCTCATCTAAATATAAAACCATTCCACCCAAAGAGTTTACTGTGCACTACTTAGATAAACATTTATATGACCTCACAAGCAACGGACCATCTCGCACCCACTGCAAATGAGCAACGCATAACGAGTGTCATCTGCCTTCTGCACTAGTTTTGAAGAACCCATGTCATCACACATTCACAGAGCTACACGATTCTTTGTCTCTTGCTCAGAAAGTTTTATTACAGATTCGTTCAGGTTCATTCTGGCAATTCTGCATTTTGTAGTTCACTGTCCAGTTTTAATGGTGATCTAGTAAGGGATAAACATTTAAAGTGATCACTAAACCGATAATAAGATGCAACATAGTGCAAACTGGTGTTAATTTGTCCACCAGCAGTAGATAAAAAGCATTCTATTCACATTGAGAAGTATTTTCCAAAGGGGTCTTTTTTCACAAAACAGTAAGCTAGCATCTACAAAATGCAGGAGACATACAAACATGAAAATCTTTGGAATATGTTGTATAAGCCAAAAAGGAAAGTCTTAAATTCTGGTCTACACAACCTCTATAAAACCAGGTACTTCATTAACATGCAAAGTTAGTTTCATATCCCCAGAAGAGACTCTTTCTTATATGTACATTACTCTTCTCCCAAGTAACTAGCGAAAGGACAAGAGGAAACGGTCTCAAGTTGCATCAGGGGAGGTGTACATTAGATATTAGGAAAAAGTTCTGCACCGAAGAAGTGGTCAGACATTGGAACAGGCTGCCCAGAGAGGTGGTGGAGTCACCATCCCTGGAGGTATTCAAAAAACGTGTAGATGTGGCACTTCGGGACATAGTTCAGTAGACATGGTGGTGTTGGGTCCATGGTTGGACTTGATGATTTTAGAGGTCTTTTCCAACCTTGAGATTCTATGATTCTGTAAGTATTTTATGCACCCAGCCCATGCTGCCAAACTTCAGTCTGCTGACATTAATTTCATTAATCCTACACACACTGCACCTGAGTAACGGGATTTCAATAACCGTGCTCAATGAGCTTTTAAAATACTCCAGCTCAGTTAAAAGGCTGACAAGCTTTTGCTGGTCAGTTCCTTCCCACCTGACAGTCCTGCTCCCATGTCAGCCAGGAGAAGTAAGTTGTATCTGAGGGTTTCTGTTTTGCAAATTGGACGAAGATACCACTCAGAAAACTTTAGATGCAAAAGAGCATGTGGACACAACTGTCTGTGCTAAGCACCAATACACATTAATATAGAGCAAATGCTTTGATCCATTTAGAAATATCTGAGAATATATGAACACTTTGAGGTCAGAACTAAAAAATTCTTCAATTACTCTTAAGCAAGCACATTGCTTGTGCAAAGCTTCTGCACAGAAAATGTTTAGCCATTACAGTCCAATACATGCATGTATGAGCGTACATATGCACAAGAAACCACAATGCTCGACTTGACCTAAACAAACACCATGGATTGCTAAAAAAACCCCAAACCCAACCCCCTCACAAAAAAAACCCAAACAGAAAAACCCCACACATACTCCCCACAACCCCCAGAAAAAAAACACCCACCAACCACCACCACCAAAGTCTAATAAGGACAATAAAAAGTCATATTCCTTGGCTATATGATCAAAGTGCTCACTTGAGTATCTTGAGTAGTTAGAGAACTCAAAAAAGACAATAAAATAAAAAAAATACAGAGGTACTCCATACTCCACTATTATCCAGTCAGAATGCAATTCAACAATATAACCATTAAAGGACTCAAACAAGGATGTGCTCTGTGACAAGTTTAGCTATATACTACACAGAATAGTATTATGCAATTACATCACATGCTAGAATGTGTAGCATTCTATCATGTAAGAATTACTGTTACAGAAATGTAGAAATGTCCTCTTAAAATTCCATTCAGATATCCTCAATTCCAAAACACATTAGATTCAAGAATAAAAATAGACTCTTGTAAAAATTTAAAACTACAGAGAGTCAGGAATATTTGCTAATACAGGCATATCTAGTTATGAAGCTTGCTCCAGAAACACATCTAAGAACCCCCTCAATTGCTCCTGCTCATATAGGAAAATAATCAGATTTCTGAAAATGTGTAGTGCTCAGAGTAAAGATTACTAAACTCATTTTAATAATGTAACCTGACTGATAAAAAAGAGTTCCCCAGTTAATCCTCTGTCACTCACTCCACTGTATCATCACTTACATAAACTAAGTTAGCAATCTCTACTAAATTCAGTGGGGTTTTTGCTCTTTACACTGCATCTGGTGAATTCTTAAAATAGTAAGGAACACAATAACTCTAATGTAAGAAAATCCCACTTTCCTATAATTTACTGTTCCCTGTTGGAGAGCAATTATATAAAACACTATTCACAGCACCAATCAGCTGTTACATTCCACATTAAAGACATGTGAATCCTTTTCCATCTCCTTTACATTTTAAAAGCATGAAAGTTTTACAAATGCAGTAGATATATCAGGATTGAAGTTTGTAACTTCTGAGCTATCTCTTCAGCTCTCAAAAAACAGCTTGCTGAGCAAATCAGAGATTGCACCGTATAACTAGGATATGATGTGCAGAAAATAACAGTAAGACAAGGACTAATTATGCACATGTTTAAGTAGGAGCTAGATAATGAAAGTAGCTAGACATAAAAATGACATGGTGCACTTGTATAAATTACAAGGATAAGTGAGTACATAATTTTAAAACTTTTTTTTTTAGTCAACAGTCCTCTAATTTGATCCTTATATTTTTATTGATATTTGCCATACTTTCATTTTGCCTCCCTGGTACTCAAGAAAACAATGCAAAATTAAGAGCAACATTCTGCTAAATATTCTCAAATTATTTGTTCAAGATACCACTACTGTTTTTTACTGCTGTTGGAAGTACATTAATATTTCTGACTGGATATTAAAAATGCAGATACATATTAACGTGCTATGCCTTTAACTGCTGTTAAGACTCGGGTAATAATTCCTAGACATAAGAAAATAGATCTGCAGTGATCAGGAAGAATAAATCTATCCCTCCAACAGACAGTACTGCACACATGGGCACAGCATTAGTCCTGTGAATACAGGCTAAGTTTCCTCACTTGGGTAGCTCCACGGAAGCCCACAACTATTCTCTCATGCCAAGTACTCTCTCAACTTATCACCCACGTAAGCGCCTTTCCAACCTCAGTTTTAGGCATTGCCTTAAGGCACAGAGTACGCAACTGCATATCATTTACACTTCTCTTGAAAACTTGCATAGACTTCCCAGGCACTCCTAATCTGCAAAGCAAGAAAGATGATGCTAATACAACAGATGAGATGGCCAGAAGACCAAGTTCATCACAAAGAGTTTGAGGTCCTTGGATGGAAGATGCCAAAAAAAGGCGACATTGTTTTTGGGTTTTTTAATAATTTAAGCAGTTTGGTATCTGATAAATTAGGATGGTCAGAATATATATTCCTTTTAAGTCAGATAACATCTGAAGCAGTTTTTCCTATCTGTTCTCCTTTCTCCTGCCATCACAGACTTCATCACTGTAACAAGGGAGCAGCTGCACCCAAGATGGGCTCTTGTTCTCACTTCACCAGATGACTAATTAATCTCTTCTTTGAGTCTGCTCTGCCACTATAAGCAACTGTGCAATGCAAGGTGGTTGAGAGAAGGACTTATTTTTAACTATGTCAGATAAGACTAACCACCAGACTAATCACTTGCACTTTGGCTGAAACATATGGTGAGCTTCACAGCAAAAGTCTGGGAAAAAAGTGTATGTTGAATTTGAAATACTCACAGAATGTATCTGAGTCCATTTTTAATAACTTTCATATTCCATAATTTCTATAATTAAAAAAGATACCTTTAAACATTAGCAAACCATAAATATAAAGGGAATTAAATCCAACCTTCGATCCATAGAGATACTGCGGCTGTGCATTAGGCTGCTTATCTCTCTGAAACTCCTGAGAAAATGGTAGCACGGTCCGAACAAATCTATAAAAATAAAATAAAGAATTCATTAATTATACTTAGGTTAGTAGGTGTGTGTGTAATGCACCTCATCCTGTGTAATACTGTCTACATACACAACCAAAGCCAGACCACTATTCAACCCAAGTTGAGAGTTGGAGAAGCACATAGCCTGCATTGCCCAAAAGCCTGGACACAAATCATAATGCACTTCTCCATCACTTACTGGGACCCCGTTCTTCCAGTGGTGTGCAGGGTCCCAAAATGTTTCTCACCTCTACTCTAGCCTAGTCCAGCAGAAAGAGAAGCAACTAACAAAGTAGCAATAGCCTCTCCCAGAGTAAGGCTTGTGCTTCCAAAATTAAGTCCTTGGGAATGAACTACACCTTAAAGAAGAACATGACATTTCTGTTTAATGTTTTGGAGCTTCTTCCCCCTAAAGAAACTCACAGCAGGAGAAACACTTGAGATTAATGCCTTTTAAAAAAGGTCAGGAGGAAGGGTATAATCCTTGTAGCAAAATTAATGTTTCGAAAGTTTGATCATACCTTAGTGCGAGCATGTACCAATACAAATCGTGTTTAGCTTTACCTTTATGTACGGTTAAGAGGATGACAAGAGAACTACAAAGACATGGAGTACCGCGAAAGATAGGATCAAACAGCCTCCAAACAGAGGGCCCCAGAAGAACGGCGCTTGGGCAGAACTCTGCAGGCACAAGTCCCCTCGTGAACAAGCAGCACAGACCTACTCCCCTGATGTTGCGTGTTAACTGCGTAATGCACATTTTGCAGGACTACCGTTTTAGTGCAGAAAGAAGTTAATCAGCATCTACTACAGTTCTGATTCTGCTTAGCTTTACTAAACTGAGCAAAATTATTGGGGTGTGTATTTACGGGTTGGATGGCTACTTTAGTTTTTAATTTGATAAAAAGGATTTCTTGGTAAATGGTGCGAAGCTGTATGTACATAGGGAAGAAGAAAAACAGCTATTTAAGAAATGTACATCAAGTGTTTGTATCAGATCAGGCTGTTCTGAGTGACAGCTGAGTAAAATAAATGCATCTAGGAAAACGTTTCAGGAAAGGAAGTTTGCAGTACATTATAATATCAGTAAGATACAATTACATCTTGATCTGGTTTTGTTTAAAACATGTTTGAATTTAATCAACATGCAAAATAAATGATTCATTAATAATTTTTCCTAGAAACAACATAGAAATTCTATTAATACGTCCATTTTCTAGCTGACAACAAAAACAGACATGCTAATCAAAAAATGTTTCACCCAAGCACATATAAATTGCACCATGTTGCTTACAATTATTTCCGCTGTGTTTTACTTCTGAGTAATCTGAATCATTCTTGTGAGAATATAACTTCACAACAAAGGCTTCTGTATTTTTTTAACCTGCTCAAAAATAGGTATACCCACAGTTTCAGCTATTTGCTCATATGTATTTTAGCTCTGTCTTTCCAAAAGTACTTGTACTTGCTGAAGTCCAGAAAGTGCTTGCATTTAAAGCTTTTGAGGAAAAAAAAGATAATTTATGTGTATTATTTTTGACATTATATATCTCATTTAAATCTCCTTACATTTCCTCAGTTTACAAGTTCCCCCCTTCTCTCTCACTTACATAGGAGCTGAAAACTTCCTCGAGATTACTTGAATCTCGTCTCTGCACAGATACTTCACTAATGAGTTTACCAGAGATGTTGTAAACATTTGATGGAATTCAGAGTAATCTGCAACATACGACAGTCCCAGAGATTACTCTATTCCCCCCTCTTTCTCTCCAAATCCTAATCCTTTATAAACTGACATCACTTTTCAAGCCCTAAGAAAATCTCTAAAATGAAAGAAATCAAAAGAGATACCACGTAATTTGAGATAAGACTGGGTTCCAGCACGGAGAGGTATTGGGCAAGAGATGATTTGTTGTCACTAAATTAAAACCCTCACAAGGAAAACAGTGTTTCAGAATATAAATGTGGGTGCATCCCATAACTTGGGAAGTTGTAACTATTATTCTTTCTCTTTTCAAAAAGGTATTATGAATATATTTGAACTACAGTGTCATTAGTGTCTGGGAGCTAATCAGTCAGGCTGTATTTGGATTGAGAAAAATCACAGCCTCAGAAATCAAATACCAGAGAAATACTTCTGAGACACAGTCTCTAAGTTTCATTAGCTTTGTACAAACACAAGTAACTCTTGTGTGTTCCTCAGTGCTCCTCTACATTCTTAGGGGTTTCTCAATCTCTAATGTTTTAGAATAGTAGCAAAAAAACCTTAAAGGTTTCTTAAAGACTTGAAGTAAGCACCCATATTATACTTGAGAGACAGGCATGGGGGAAAGATGCCAAGAGAGGAAGAAAGAGGTTAAGAAAAGGAAGTAGGAGCAAGAGATACACTCACTTGATCTCTTACAGTGGGACTATGGCTAAGTACTGAGAGTACAACAGGGAAAAGAGAGTGCATTGTCCTAGATGGTATGTGAGTAATCTCAATATATAATTTGGATAAATATTAGGGATTTCTTATCTCAAAACTAAGGGCTATATAGAAACTTTTACAGCTCAGCATCATCTGCTGTTCTTCAAACTTTTTCAGTGTGTGCGTGTGTGTGTGTTTTCTTTTTGACATTCTGCTGGTTGGCTTCCTCCTGCTCCTTCTCCAAGGAACAGAAACATTTCTCTGAAGAACTGAAGCTCATTGAATATCAATGCTAAAGCTAGGCAAATTTTTACTTTCCGTTGGATACCGCTGGATGCAGGTTTTGGCATACTCCAAGATAATCAGTTCTTTTCATTTTTAATCAGTGTTGATGATCTCACAGCAATTTATCCATTTTAATCAACACAGGTTGTAAGCAGTCAAAGTAGATTAAGCAGATGAAAAGCCTGCTGGCTTACCAAAGTTTTACAACAGTGATTGCTAAAGGATGACATGAGCCCCAAAGTAAATATTTTAGGGATCAAATAATTTTATATTGGTGTTTCTGTGATACTTTTCAGGAAGGAGTTCATAGTGAGTACTTCACAAATGAATCTAAATGATTCTATGATTCTAATTACCATAATCTATTTAAGAAAATAAGGATAAATCTGAAAGAGACCACTTCAGTCCCACTTCCTTGCTACTGCAGTCACCAGATTAGACCATCTCATTCATAAACTTCCTGAGCTTCTGTATTGGGTTTGCATGGCAAGGTTTT